CCACACCCACACACTCACACCCACACCCCACACCCCGCCTATGAGTCCCCAGTAGCCCTTGGCGCCTCCCCCTTTATAGCCTCATTTGATCCTTGACCTTTGACGCGGTACAAAGAAACAGACAAACAAACTTTCTGCTTTATATATTAGATATGGAGGTTCGAAAGCAACCAACATGAACGTAAGATCAATCAAAAATAAATAAATAATATACACAATATTTAACAACATCACAGTCCATTTCTACTATCTTAGGTTACCTATTTTCATCCGTGTTTATTAGAATCCAGTACTTAACGTATATTTATTCAATTAAAATTGAATCATTTTGATTAATTTGGCATCTGATGGCTTCGTAGCTAAAGCGAAATCTAGATTATGGTAGCTGTTCTCACCCACCCCTAGTTTTTATTTATTGTTTTTTTTTCAAATTGGTTTTTACTGGATATTTTTATGTTTTCCAATATTCGGGAGTGTGACGTTCATCAAGACGCCTGTTAAAGTATTTAATAAAGATATAGACGAAGTATTCAATGAAGCCACCTGATAGTTTGTTAAAGTAAACACGTCGCGTAGTTCCATTACGTTGATACCAGCTGGTATTAAAGTCTATGTTACGATCAAAAAATATTTCTGGAATATCACAAGGTTTTTCTAGATCAATAAGAAGGTCTTCCCGTGGAATTAATTGTTTTATTGTGTTTCTTTCAAGATATGTATCTAGATGTTTAGTTGAATCCTCTTGTGCAGGTTGAGCATATAAAAAGTGAACCAAATAAACCATAATGATAACTATCTGTTTATATAAATCTTGCCGATCATCGTTATCTTCAATCTTCAAATCAAAGCAATGCGCAACGGCTTTTCGAATGAATCGAATAAGCCTATAAGCATCAGCGTCAGTTTCTGTGCAAATATAATTATGATACCCGGGCACTTCTTCAAAGTGATGCAAATTTCGGCATTGTACGTCGGTATATCTGCATGAATTGTTTCTATACCAAAATGGACAAAGATTTGTTTGTCGATATTTTGTCCCATGTACACGGGGACATTGATCACACTGACATTGTCCATCTTGAATTAAATCATAACAAACTCGATGATCCCAAAGAGCAATCTCAGATGCTAGGTTTGTTTTCGACTGTTCATAAACATCGAGAAATAAAAGAAGTCCTTTTTCCAGACGGGCAAATGTAACTGGACGGTTTTCTGGTCGATTTACATAAAAACCATGGACGTTTACAGCTTGTACGTTTTGTACTGGATCAACATTGTCCATCGTAGTAAATGCGATGAAGAGTATAAAGAAATCAAATGATTTCAAGCTTGCTTTTTTTCTTTCTTCTTATATTGAAGTTTTTCTCATAGATGACAGAAAAACAAAAGCAAACGTTCTGTTTTTTCACATGAGTTATTCTTCGAATGAAGCAGTATCTCAAAACACAAAATCAAATATTGTGAAAGACTTTTGTTTCACATACGTCATACTTCATATAAAGCGGTGTCTCAAAATTCAAATGCAAATAATGCGAAAGACATTTATTGCACATACGTCATTCATCAAATAAAGTAGTATCTCACAACACAAATCTCAGTATTCTGAAACCTTTTCTTGAGAAACAGCCAAACATATCGTCATCGAAATTTCGATTTTCCTTCAGAGTCAGGTTGAACATCAGCGTGCGAGGTCGTGGAAGAGGCTAAAAACAAACATTTCCTCTTACTCTCCCCCTCGCCGTCACAATCATCCTCACCACTCTCCTCACAGGGTATGGGTGTGGGTACGAATCTTCTCTTCGACAGAACCCACACCCACACCCACACCCTTATTAAGCTAGTAACAAGAATAAGCAGTGGGTTTCTTTCGCATTTCTAAAAATACCTTGGTTGCAAATTCAATCAAAATGGAAACCAAATATATTGATTAATTTTCATGCAGAGAAAAAGAAAATGGAAAAGAAACCGTACATAAAGATGAGTTCGTGAGTGAGACTGTCGATGTATGGAAGCTACAGCACTGTGTTTCCACTCAGCTACGAGTATCATCAGACGACTTAGAATCTCAATTCCGATTGAAATTTCGAGAAGAAATACAATCAAGTCAAGAGGATGTGGGGTATGGGTATGGGTATGAGTGTGGGTATGGGTGTGGGTGTGAGCGTAGGGTGTGGGTGTGGGTGTGGGTGTGTGGATGTGGGTGTGGGTGTGGGTGGGTGGGTGTGGGTGTGGGTGGGTGTGGGTGTGGGGTGTGGATGTGGGGTGTTGGTGTGTGTGGGCGTGTGTGGGTGTGGGTGTATGTGGGTGTGGGCGTCGATGTCGATCTATCAAAATCACTCCGACATTCCGCACCCATCCATGCCCACATCCACATCCACATCCCACATCCACACTGACACATCCACACCCATACCCCACTCACACATCCACACCCACATTCCACACTCACACATCCACGCCCACACCCCACACCCATGCCC